GCTGTGTTCTGATTGGGTGGAGGTGTGTTCTGATTGGTTAAGGAGCCTGGCTGTGCTCTGATTGGATGGGGGGTTCGCTGTGCTCTGATTGGATGGGGGAGTGTTCTGTTTGGGTGGGGGCTTTGTTGTGCTCAGGTTAGTTTGAGTTGCAGGGGGATTTAAGATGGTGAGCTTCATTGCTGTTGTTTGGCTTCGTGTTTGTGGTCGTGCCACATCTTTATGGTGGGTGTCAGTTTGCTTCATGTATGGATTGGAGGGGTTTAAAAGAAATGTCTTTAAAAATGTGATCCCTAGGTAGTTCCATATTAAAATCAGTGAGCGAACACGAGCACCAGGGAATATGGTAAAATAATTTAATATTAAAATTACTAATTAAAATGCCAATTAAAACGCCTAGCTTTCGTCAGCTATCTGCCGACGTCCTCAGGGCTCAAAATGTCAGTCCATGGGAGAGTCACCTACAATCATAGGGGCCAAGCTTCCGTCGGATCCTTCCGACATCCTCAGGGCACAAAGTTAATCAATGGGAAAAGCATTTATAAATAAGCCGACGCCTGCATCCGGGCCCTAGATCTCGTAACAGGGCCGTGATAACCAATCATTGTAACATCCTCATTAACCCCTTTAACTATCCTTCTATCCTTATTTGTGCTGCATTTCCATGTCAAACCACCATGGGGACGTTTCGCCTCATTAAGTTTATAATCACTCTCTAGATGTTTCCTCTCATCTCGGATGGAGTGTCTTTTACAGTTCATCGTCTCCCCTTGTTGAAAATCATCCTTCCCACCATCCCATTTATCCATATGGGGTTCTGACACAGAGGCACCTTCCTCCAGTTTATCAGAAGGTCTCCCTTGCCATCATATCATTGGGAGACCATCTTTAGGAACCTCATCAAGACAATTGGATGCCTCTATATAACCCTTTCCCTCACCCCCCTCTCCAATCCTATGTAATCCTAATGACAGGAACGTTGTACAACGTCCCTTTGTAGGGCCGATTACCCGCTCCCGTGCAGTTGCTCTACGGAAGTGCCAAACCCCGGTGGAGAGAGAGAGAGAGGGGGTGGGGGTCTATGGTATGAGAGGGAAAGGGGGAAGACCGAAGAAAGGGAGAGGCATGCCTATGGAACAAGAAATAGGCAGGAAGGAGAGAGTGGGTGTGGAGCGATCGTGTGAAATAGGCATGACCCAGGTAGATCAGCTCATTGGAATGAGAACGGAATTAGAACGGCGATTGGCCATTGGAGCGTCACGACAGCACCTATGGGCCGGGTGCAAAGGTGGCCGTAATATAAGAAGTGCCCTCCCATTGACCGACACGGATCCCTGAAGATGCCGGCAGAAAAGCCGGTGAAAGCTTGGGTCATTATTTATTAAAACCTTTTTAAACTTTTAAAGGGTTTTGTTTTCCTGGTGCTCATTTACGTTTGTATGCTTTTATCATGAACACTCCCAGGAATCAATTGTCGGTTTTTAGCATTGTTTTTAATATATATATATATATATATATATATATAT